CTTTCTTTCTTTCTTTCTTTCTTTCTTTCTTTCTTTCTTTCTTTCTTCCTTCCTTCCTTCCTTCCCCGCTTCTTTTTTTGGCTGACTTGATGTTACATGTTAAATTCTAAGGCCGCCACCGCCAAGTTCAATGAGGCTTTTCACGTGCCCCAAACGCTTTAAATTATATTTGCAAAATGGCCTGCTTTAATTAATTAATTGTTCTAGCGCCCGAATCAAGCTGGCTTGCAGGATAACAATAATAATAATAATAATTAAGAAACCCCTGGCAGCAAAGCGTGGGTGGACCCCGGCCCGCAGTAAATATTAAATAGCAAGCTGCTACAGTAATTGCGGCATTAAATATTAAAATATCCACAGTAAAGCCATCCCTGGTAACAGAGGGGGAAAGGCTGAAGGTTTCTGAATCACACATTATCAATGCAGAGTTGGAAGGGACCCTGAAGGTCTTCTAGTCCAACTCCTGCTCAGGATACAGCAGGCCTTGGTTCAAATTCAGCCCTCGTTTTATTTTTCAGTAGAAAATTGGACTGCTCTGTTGTTTTTCGACATTTAAAAATCTTCTACTGCTGCACCAGAGAGAGTATCTTAACTTACTGCATCTCTGTATGGTTTGCCAATTGCACAGGGGCAGATAGGAAAGCGCCCCAGAGGGTCAACGTCATTGCCCAGAAGATCATGGGTTGCCCTCTCCCCTCTTTGGAAGAGCTTCATAGCTCCTGCTGCCTTAAGAAAGGTCAAAACATTCTCAAAGATCCATCTCATCAAAGGGGCACCCTTCTTTTTAAACTATTACCATCTGGCAGATGGTACAGGATAATAATAAAAACAAGGACAAATAGGCTGAAAAACAGCTTCTATCCCAGGGCAGTAGCTCTGTTGAATTCTACTGTATAGTGCAGTGTTGGTGCGGTGTCAGGGGTTTTCGGTTCAATATGTGGAGGGTGAAGGATGTGTGTTTGTGTTTATTTTCATGGTCATGATGTGCACTGAAGATGGCGTTTGATTTCGTTGTACGAGGTGCAATGGCAATAAAGTAGAGTAGAGTAGAGTAAATTAAATTAAATTAAATTAAATGGCGGTTGTGCAACGTGGATATTTTAAAAAGCAAAGGAGACCTGGATCACTGTATCTGCTTTTCTGAAATATTATTTATTTCAGAAGTGGGGGCAGGGTTCCTTTATCATATTTGATTGAAACATGATCAGAAGTCTCCGTTGTCAGCTTTGGAAGCCATATTAGCACCAGAAGCTTCCACGCTGCCACATTCTTGGGAAGATGGGAGGGGGGAATTGCCTGGAGTGGATGTGTTTAGACACAACAGTGTTCTTCGTTAAGAGTCAAGGTGACGTTGTTCCTGTAGTCGAGGGGACGCCTCAAGGTCGGACGGATAGTGATCGGGGCATGTGATGGAATGATGGGTGCAGGGGGAGGATTTGTAATAGTTTACTTATTGGAGGGAACTTTCAGGTTCTGGATTTTCCCGATGTGCCAGTTGACTGCTCTAATAAAAGGGAGCTTTGAACATATGTCTGGTTTGGAGTGATCTGTTGGAGTCAAGGTTTTCTG